ATAACGCATATCAATATACTAAGATTGAGGAACTATTACTTCAGTTTGATTTAATATTGTGACTAGCTTCAAAGGAATCTCACGTTCTCTCTACTCTCACTTTAAAATTTATTATAGACGTTTTATCTTTACTTTCTAAATAAGATCTTACGATAATTTCTCTTGATTCATTCATTTTACTTACATATGAGGATTCTGCAATGCATTRTTAGCGTGTCAAAAATGGAATTTCTTGACAAGTTCTATTTATTTTTCCAATAGATTAGAATGTTTTCTTTCATTTTTATTTGAACCATCAAATACTTCCTTGATTTTTGGTCTATTTTTAAGTAGATTTTCAGTTTTTGCTGGACGAGATCAAAATCTTCCTCTGTGATATACRTAAACAAAGGATTATAATAACAAGAGAAAATTTAAACGTACTTTAGATCCTCTATTCTTTGAGGAAAATAAATAATAGATTTTTAACTGAAAAATTGACGTTTTCGCATATATCTCAATTTATTTTCGTATTCAGAAATTCTCCTTTTGTGTCATTTCCTCATAAGAATTACCAATATCTCTTTTTCATTTAACCTTCGTTTATTATTTATTGGCTTCTTTTATAAGTATTTCAATTTCTTGACATGGGAATAGCATCAAAGGCGGTGAATATTATGTCTTGTCAAGATCTTTTGGGGTTGGGAGCGGAATGAGATGTGACGGGGTAATAATGAATCGGCACCACCGCAGTTTTGAAATTAGAAGGAACCGTGAATTTTTGTTTTGAAAGGTTTATCAATCATTACATTACGTTATGACGACTAGGAATCATAGATCACGACAAAAATAAGACCAAAAATCATGAATAATTGACAAAACTTWATTAAAATTTATAAATCATCAAAAACAATKAATCTATCGAAGAGTTTTTCCGGCGCCATCTCAGCCTTGCWGGCAGTGCTGAGATCCTAAAACAYATGGATTCATTTGCAACTTCKAAGGCCTTGTCCTTTGGCGCATGTAGGCTTCTTAAGCACAAATTGTCCATGGCCGGGCTGCCTGCTATATAGGTATTGGTGTATAATATGGCGGGAAGTTTTGTATCACAATTTTTTTTTTACGCGCGATTAATGATTGCGCCAATAGTATCTGAAATTTAAAAAAAAGTTTTGAAGATGTCGTTTGCACTCCATTCCACTCTAATCAGT